GAGAGAGAGAGAGAGAGAGAGAGAGAGAGAGAGAGAGGTGACTCAGTGTGGTGTGTGTAGGGCTTGGGGAGGAAGAGAGTGAAGTATGGAAAGAAGTATCGATACCCTGAAATACCTGGTGCAGGGCAGTTAATCATAAGGCCTCTCCAAAGAAAAAAGACCGAGGGAGAATGTTGAGGAGGAAGATCTTGAGGAGGCAGAAGACGTGGTGGTGGAAGAGAGACAAGGGAAAAGAAGCTGCAAGGAAGGAAGAGCGAGAGGAGGAAATGTGTAAGGTGAAATACGTTTTTCTCTCTCCTGCTTTCCCTCTCTCCTTCTTGAGCGTGTGCAACGGTGTAGAGATCTTTAAAAGAAATGGAGCGATCTTGATAACAAATGGAGCGTTTACGTCCACTGGGTCGGGCGTTACGAAAGGAGGGCCGCCAGTTGAGGGAGGAAGGGGCAGGTAGGGAGTACAACGGAGGGAGGAATGGAAGGAGGTGGTCAGGTGGTGATCAGGCTGAGGAAGGAAGGGGAGGAAGGAGATTGGGGGAAGGAGGGCAGATAGAGATCGGGCGAACGAAGGGGGCGGATGAAGGGGAATGAGGCGGCCAGGCGGACGGAGGTCAGTGGGAGGTTGAAGAGAAAGTGCGGAGGAGGCCAGTAGGCAGGGGAAAGGCGGCAGAGAGTAGGGCGGAAGCAGGAGTTCAGGTAGAGATCGGGCAAAGGAAGGAAGGGGAGGAAGGAGATTGGGGGAAGGAGGAGGTCAGTGCAACGGGCAGAGGAAGGAGGAAGGAGGACGGAGGAGATAGAGGGAAGGAGGTCAGGCGGAGATTGGACGAAGGAAGGGAAGTGAGGTGGCCAGGTGAAGGGAGGGCAGAGAAAGGTTTTAAGAGAAGGTCAAGAGGAGGCAGGGAGAAAAGGGAGGCGGCAGGGAGAAGGAGGGCGGAGGGGGGACAGAAAGCAGAACGTAGTTTAGAGGTTGAGTGACATATGGAGGAAGGGAAGAGGTAAGGGGGGGACGAGCATGTGAAGAGGAAGAGGAGGGGAAAGACGGCATGGTGAGGTCGGCCGGAGGGAGGGCAAAGGTTGGGTGGGGTACAGAGCAAGGGAAGAGGTCAGGCGAAACAGTAGTAGCTCAAAAAGCACCACAAATTCTATGAAAAATAGAGAAAGTAGAAGTTAATTGTGGCTTATAAATAGTAATATGAGGTGATAATGGTCGATTGATTTTCATGTCAATTTACTCTGATTTTGACTCAAGGTGACAGGATTCGAACCTATGACCCTCTGTACCCAAAACAGATGCGCTACCAGACAGAGGGGCAGCAGAAGCCACAGTAGGACGGGGGGAGGAGAGAATTTGAAGAGGCGCAGAGCAATAGCGCGGGCAGATTTGGAGGAAGAGGATGAGGTGGCGCATGTCACAGCGTCCTGGGAGGGAAGGGAGAGTCGAGGGGTAAGGATGGTACAGTGACAAAGGGGAAGAGCGGTACATGTCGTGGATGGGAGAAAGATGGGGGGAGGGGGAAGAGGGGCAGGGGTAAGGTGGAGTGTGGAAGGCCCAAAATCGTGCTCTATTTCTGTTTTTTCCCTTACGTGTGCTTTTGTGTGTGTGTGTGTGTGTGTGTGTGTGTGTGTGTGTGTG